ATGACTATAAATATACTACTAACATGATTTCAACAGATCCTATTTTTTGCGTCAAACTTAGCCCATGTTGAAATTTTCACAGTCCGAATGAGGTAAACAAAGTCTTTCGCAATTATTTTGCGAATATAATACCCCTTTCACCTTTATGTTACATTATTAGATTTATGAATTCTCCCTACTAAAACCGCAAGCAAAAGTTTTGCAATTTAACTATTTTACTTTATGCCTGTACCCCCTAAATGGAGTTTTCATGGCTTCTGTTGTTTACTCCAAATATACTGACTGATACTGACTGACAACCCCCGACACAGCCACTTGCTCGATTAGGAGGATATAGATGTGCAATCCCAACTGAAAGACCCACTGAGGGTACCATGTGGTAATTCACAGTGCATAGCTACTGTAGTGGAACTAACGGAGTTTCACACCGTCGGGACAATTCTATTAGACGGTTTTCTTTGCCACTCGCCGGGTTAGGATAACGAAGGGAGCGCGAGCAGGACTCGGACCACGCGGAGGAAAGCGCGTTTGAACTGGCAACTGAAGTAACCGAGGCTGGCAAATAAGCACTCCTCCCCTGTGGCATGGTTACTTGTTGGATTTGAACGGTAAGGAAGATGCAAATACGTGGTACTTGCAAAGTCGGCATACTCACATCTATTTTTTTAAGGAAAATAGCCATGCAGTATCACTCAGGTGCGGCTGCAGGACCAAACCTCACGGATTTCCGCTTGATGCAGAATGTGAAGTTATCCCCAAGTCAATAAAAAATCCAGTCCAGAGAGCCGCACTCAGATGTTTTGCTAAGGAGGGAGTGGCGCCCGATAGCAATTAAGGCAGAAGAACAGTCAAGAAGTGCACATGAGTATGCATGCCGACCCTTGGCTAGATCTGTTTAAGCAGAGCGGATTACAAGCGCAAGACCATCTAGGGCACTACGCCTGGAAAAGGGTAGGGGAGTTTGGCGATTGTTCAGGAAGCCTCAGAAGTGTCGAAGAACAGTCAACTGGACGGGGAAATTTAGGACCAGAATTAGTAGATTTCTTACGAAGAAGCGTGATTACCTCCGGTGTCAAGCGTCAGGAATTTTAGACATGTTAATGAAACATACCAAAAACAGGGGCTATCTGAGAACAAAAAGATTTAAGGAGAAATGAAGAGGCACCATCCGAAACGGCAGATGTTGGTTCGTGGACTTTAGAATTTTCCTCCACAGGTACAGGTGAGAAGCCACCTGTCATCGAGATTAAAGGCAGACTTTTCATTTAAGGAGTAAATCAACGCCAACAAGTGCAACTGTGCTACGTCGGCCAATGAGGCGTTCAGGATTCCTCCAATGTCAAAATATCTGCGTGGAGCGCCTTAATAGGTGGAGGGGGAATATAGGTGTCAGAAAATATAGTGCCTGTAAAATTATTTAATAAACCGAAGTGGTTCCATATCGCGAATTTTGTAAGAAAAAATCGAACGACGGTTTGCCGTGAGGAAAGCTGGAATCGACAACTTTTCTTTGACTGACGCTTAAGTGCAACGTGCGAGCCACAGCGGCATTTTTTCGATATGAGCATGATAAGGTGGAAGACTTATAAATACAACATATCGGCCGCAGAGCGCAGCAGTTGTCATCATGGCCGGTCGTCAGAGAATTCATCCCATTATTTTGGAAATAAAATTATGATAAAATCACCACCTTTTCGTATCCCTTTTTGGGCCGAGTATCAGCAACAAGATGGAAGTTACGTCCACTTGCACTTTAACTGTCAGCGACTTATTGTTTCTGTCTATATAGATTCCCATCTTTTCTCCGATGCCGTAATGTAAATGCGCATAGGAATTTTTTGTGACCAAGCACTATGAATATGCTCGAACGCAGTGTTCAGCCAGTTGGACTAATGATATTCATGTAATAAGCCCAGTAGAGATTTTTTAAATTTCTCCTTAATCAGGTATTTGATATAGACTCTGTCATATTTGAACCTGACAACATTCCTGATACTCATGCAAATCTGCTTTACACTACTTAATAAGGTCGTCAGCATAACGTTCCAATCCACACTTTTCTTATGTTCACCCTTTCCCTAGTTTAACATGGTTTTGAGTAGATAAATACCAAGTAATCAGACCCGTTAGTAACACCTTTTCTATTTTTAGACCCCGAAAAATTCCGCCCAGATCTTCTGCCAGAAATTTAAATTCCTATAAGGTGCATGTATGAACGGTTCTGACGTTTACTTCCTTCGCCCTTTAATCTATCTAATCTCATTCGTTGTCGCCTTATAGCATCGACCTTGCTGGTTTTTATTTTAGCACCTCTTGTCGACATCATAACATCATAAATTTGCTCATCTTCTTATATTGGAAAGTTCGCGTTTTCTAGCATCTGTTCCAGATTGATCTCACTGAATGAATTTTCGGCAGCCCGGCTTCATTAATTCCCTTGAACTCTTATTGTCATTCAAGTCTGTTTTGCAAAGGCTTTCTTTACTACATTCTGCGGTTGAGGGTTTTCAAGATTTCAGACTAATCGCGGTGAAACAATGCGCGATGAAGACACTTGTAGGAATCGCTGCCTTCGGCATAGTATACATGATTTTTTAACAAAATAGGTTTCCAATTTGAAACAAATGATCACGATTATAGCATACTTATACCTGCGGCGTGTTTTAAAGTGATTAACACAGCAAGTCCTGTTTACGCAATTTTTTTGCTAAAGATGTGCAAATTCAATTATTTCGATTAGCTTTCGATAACCTGTACCGGTGAGGACAGCAAATTCAGTAATTCCACTGAGAAGGCCGAGTCAGGCACGAAATTTGTCAAACATCATAAAACTTTATGCACATTTCCGCAGCAGTAGACTTCAAAGCGCCGACGGCAACACTCCTGACTGAGAAGACGCAAATCCTACAGCGATGGACCGAGCATTTCCGAGGCGTCCTCAACCGCCCCTCCGTCATCTACGACGCCGCCATCGAGCGTTTGCCGCAAGTGGAGACCAACGTGGATTTCGACCTCCCGCCATCTCTCCACGAGACTATCAGGGCCGTGCAGCAGCTCTCCAGCGGGAAGGCACCCGGATCGGACGCAATTCCTGCTGAGGTCTACAAGCACGGAGGTCCCCAACTAATGGATCAGCTGACTGCGCTCTTCCAAGAGATGTGGCGTCAAGGTGAAGTCCCGCAAGATTTCAAAGACGCAACCATCGTGCATCTCTACAAGCGCAAAGGGAATCGCCAAGTCTGCGACAATCACCGCGGCATCTCCCTGCTGAACATCGCCGGGAAGATCTTCGTCCGCATCCTTCTCAACCGCCTCAATAACCAGCTGGAACAGGGCCTTCTGCCGGAAAGCCAATGCGGCTTCCGTCGTCATCGTGGGACCACGGATATGATCTTCGCCGCCCGTCAACTTTAGGAGAAGTGTCAGGAGATGCGGACCCACCTGTACTCTACCTTCGTGGACCTGACCAAAGCCTTCGACGCGGTGAATCGTAAAGGACTGTAGAAGATCATGCAGAAATTCGGCTGTCAGGAGCGATTCACTCAGATGGTGCGTCAGCTGCACGACGGTATGATGGCGCGAGTCACGGACAACGGAGCTGTCTCAGAGGCATTCGCAGTGACCAATGGAGTGAAGCAGGCATGCGTACAGGCGCCTACCCTCTTCAGTCTTATGTTCTCTGTCATGCTGATGGACGCCTACCGTGACGAACGCCCCGGGATCCGCATCGCCTACAGGACGGACGGTCACCTCCTGAATCAACGGCAGATGCACTTCCAATCGCGCGTATCCACAACCACCGTTCACAAACTCCTCTTCGCCGACGACTGCGCCATAAACACCCCCTCGGAAGAGGAGATGCAACGGAGCATGGACCTGTTATCCGCCGCCTGCGAGAACTTCGGTCTGGTCATTAACACGCAGAAGACGGTGGTGATGCACCAACCGCCACCCAACTCAGCCACAGCTCGCAACGCGCCGCCGCAAATCAGCGTGAATGGGACCCAAATGCAAGTGGTGGAGAACTTCCCGTACTTGGGCAGTACTCTCTCCCGCAACACCAATATCGACGACGAAGTCGCCAACAGGATCTCGAAAGCCAGTCAAGCCTTCGGTCGCCTCCAAAGCACAGTTTTGAATGGCCACGGTCTTCAGCTGAGCACGAAGCTGTAGATGTACAAGGCCGTCATCCTGCCGACACTACTGTATGGAGCGGAGACTTGGTCGGTGTACGGAAAGCAGGCACGTCGACTGAACCACTTCCACCTCAGTTGTCTTCGTCGCATCCTGAGGCTAAAGTGCAGGATCGAATCCCCGACACTGATGTGCTGGAACGCACGGGAATCCTCAGCATCTGCGCCATAATGAGGCAAATGCAGCTGCGCTGGAGTGGCCACCTGGTTCGCATGGACGACAAGCGACTACCCAAACGACTCTTCTACGGAGACGTCGCGACGGGTTCTTGCCGCCAAGGAGGCCAGATTCGCCGTTACAAGGATACCCCGAAGTCCTCCCTGAAATGCCTGCAAATCAACCCCACCAACTGGGAGGAGTTCTCACTCGATCGACCGACCTGGAGGAGGACAGTGAAGACAGGCGCTGCGATCTACGAAGCCAACCGCATCGTTGCCCCCAAGGCGAAACGTGAAGCCCGCAAATCACAAATTCGTCCAGTAAGCAACGCCGCCGCACAACCGCTTTCAACGTGTCCTCGATGTCAACGGACATTCCGGGCTCGAATTGGACTTGTTGGACATCTACGGATTAACTGCACCTCTCGAACTGTACCAACCATCGTCCCCCCGCCTGCCCCTTCCTCCTCCTCTCCGCCGCCAACTAACCCTGACAATTCTTCTGACCCAGCACTTCCATCCTCCTCCTCCTCCTTCTTATTCTTCTTCTTCTCCTCCTCCTCCTCCTCGCCCACTGCTCCAACGGCGACCGCTCAGGCGACTGTCCCGCGCACAGCAACCGACACTGCCACCACCTCCCCCGACTCCAGCGATGAGGATCAGGACTACACCTGCCCTCACTGCGACCGCAC